CAACCCTCACTGCCTGAATTTTTATACCGATTCTGGGAATTAGAATATCTTGGAAGTTTAAAGTGGCGTCGCGATTACAGGAATGGCATCCGCAGATTCTCGCTTTTCGCCTCTAAACTAGGGGTGAATGAGAGGTGAGTGAGAGAATCTGCGGATGTGACTAGAGGTGACGTGGCTGCGTCGCGAGCGTGGCTGGCGATTTTCCATAGATCGTCTACAACCAATCACCACCCTATTTTCCAGGGTGATTCCGGAGGTCCGATCGCGCGCGAATACTTCTCCAAAAAATCCGGCAAATTCAAGAACATCCAAGTGGGCATCATCAGCCGTGGTCCCGGCAACTGTCAATACGACAATAATGAATACGGTAGAAGTTGGCACCAAAAATCCAGGCGCTAAAATTTTCCAGCCGCATTTACCGACACGTACCGCTTCTGTGGGTGGATCGAACGGATCATTGGGCTCGACGGGATTTGTAAAAGATTGGAAGAGATTTAGTGCTTGATGGAAATAAAATGTTGCTGAAATGTGCTTGCCAAAGGTAAAAAAAACGCATATGGTTGAACTATCATTCCGATCCGATCTGTCCGTGCCGTTGGTCTCTGGACACACTCTGGACAATTGTTTAATGTGATCTTTGTGTTGACTCTATTGATTTGTTTTTATTCAGTTTTTTCATTTTTCCAAGTATTTTATTGCGTTCAACATGTTTAAATACCTTTCAAGATACAATATGATTATATAAAATGGCTGAAATAAAAAAAATACTAGAAATTCGGGTTTCTGGTCGTTATTTACGAGAAAAACATCTAAATCGTCGAGGTCAAAGTCCAGGGTAGCCAATGCGAGGCGTTGCTAGGGGGATTTTCAGGGACGTTATAAGATTCAGGGTTATGCTTACGCGGGCCGTGCGGGAGATTTCGGTGATGTAGTCGGCCATTACATGTCACTCGACGGCAGGGCTGTCGTTTGTCTACGCGGAGCGGACATGTGTTAAACTTGTGGGTCGCGGATCCGCAAAAAGCGCATAGTGAGGCTTTGCTAAGTGCTTTTGCGATCGTTTTTATTGTGGACGTGGGGCATTTCCTGGCTGGTCGTTCACAATTATTAAATGTAGTTAAATCTACGGGAAAAGAGGATTGTGAATTTGATTGGGAGACTCGCTGGATGGGAAACGAATTGACGTGCCTGAATCTAGATGTGATTTGGTGATTGCGAGTTTTGTGATTTTTGTTTGGACGTTTTCGATGCTGATCGCGCTGATTTTTGTGGCTCGCTACTATTAGTGTGGTTCCCGTGCCGCGGCTTGGGTGCTTTTGGAGGAGATGTGATTTTCTTTCTACGATTTATGTTTTCGTTGAAAAGTAAAGCGAGATAGACGAAAAAAAAGATAGCCAAATTACAAGAGTACATAGTATTATGTAAGTAAGAGTTTCAATAAGGTAAGAGTTCAAACGCTAGGTCGAAGTAGTCTTTGACTTGGGGGCTAAGGATTCCGAATGGGGAGTGCTGGTTGGGGTCAGCTGCGGGGGGAGCAGACATGGGGGCGCGTTGGGAAGGGCTCATGGCTGCTACTGGGGGAACAGCTAGCTGGGCCGGGTTGGGGGCGTTGGCCTTGGCGGAGACGATGTGGGAGGTTGCGAGCATATACCTTTAACATTTGAAAGTCTCGTCGGGTGCATTGCGCGCGGGGCACTTTGCAGTACTACCTTGGCCTCTTGCACTTTATTTATTTGACGATTTGGCCAGTCTATCATTTTTGCAAATTGATTTCGTGTGTCGACGTGCTGAGTATTCGACCGTACTTTTGATCCTTTGTAGTGATGCGTATCTGCAGTACTACCTAGGCCTCTTCCATTTTTATTTGACGATTTAGCCAGTCTATTACGTTTGCAAATTGATTCCGTGGGTCCGCGCACTGAGTATTCGACCGTACTTTTGATCCTTTGTAGTGATGCGTATCTGCAGTACTACCTAGGCCTCTTCCATTTTTATTTGACGATTTAGCCAGTCTATTACGTTTGCAAATTGATTCCGTGGGTCCGCGCACTGAGTATTCGACCGTACTTTTGATCCTTTGTAGTGATGCGTATCTGCAGTACTACCTAGGCCTCTTCCATTTTTATTTGACGATTTAGCCAGTCTATTACGTTTGCAAATTGATTCCGTGGGTCCGCGCACTGAGTATTCGACCGTACTTTTGATCCTTTGTAGTGATGCGTATTTGCAGTACTACCTAGGCCTCTTCCATTTTTATTTGACGATTTAGCCAGTCTATTACGTTTGCAAATTGATTCCGTGGGTCCGCGCACTGAGTATTCGACCGTACTTTTGATCCTTTGTAGTGATGCGTATTTGCAGTACTACCTAGACCTCTTCCATTTTTATTTGACGATTTAGCCAGTCTATTACGTTTGCAAATTGATTCCGTGGGTCCGCGCACTGAGTATTCGACCGTACTTTTGATCCTTTGTAGTGATGCGTATTTGCAGTACTACCTAGGCCTCTTCCATTTTTATTTGACGATTTAGCCAGTCTATTACGTTTGCAAATTGATTCCGTGGGTCCGCGCACTGAGTATTCGACCGTACTTTTGATCCTTTGTAGTGATGCGTATTTGCAGTACTACCTAGGCCTCTTCCATTTTTATTTGACGATTTAGCCAGTCTATTACGTTTGCAAATTGATTCCGTGTGTCCGCGCACTGAGTATTCGACCGTACTTTTGATGGTCTGCAACGCAGCGTATTTGCAGCACTATCTAAGCATTTTTTTTATTCCGAGCCATTCCTTACGTTTACAATTGGCCGTCGGTCTATTTTTTGATTTGCTGGGATCATTTTCTGGCTGGTCTTCCTTCCCTCATTCTAGCCTTTCCCGGTCTTCTGAGGAAGCTTAGGCAATTTTTGCTCGCGAGTGATAGCATTTTTCGTGCCCTGTCAGGCCTACGAGTTCGAGGCTTCTCGGAGGGCGCCTAGTCCACGCAATACGCAATTTTGGTGGTTGGGGGAATCACAGTCACAAAATGCAATACATTTTTCGAACACGAATTATTAGGAACAGAAATAGGCAGAGATAGAAACGCTTGAGATTTTCAAACTTTTGGCCGGCATTTGAGGCGATCCCCCCGTAAAAAGTGGCGAGCGCAGTCGCATAAATCCTGGGGTACATTCAGCGCATTGATGCAGTTGTCTGAGAAAACCAAGGTTAAATTATGTCAAAAAACCCATCGCCACTTCTTTAGGTCCAATTTTGGCATCGGGAAGCTCACCCGTAGATGACGAATATTTTCCTCTCAGGCGCAGGGAAAGCTTACAGCATTTTTGGTGTTTTCCTGAAATAAAATTAGTAATTGTCTTATAGTTGGTACCATCAATAAAGGACCTACCATTTAAAAACTATTGAAATGAAGAATTTCATTTTTGCTGAAACCGACTCTTGATGAAGCCGGCTGGTCCAAGGCCAGGCATGAGGAAACGGTGCTCCTGAAAAAGTAAAATGCCATGAAAATTCATAAGATCTTAAAATATAAAATTTAAAACATTAATTATTTGCTAAATAGTAGAAAATAAAGATAGAGGATATGTGCTGGGTATCTTTGCGGAACCGTACAGCCCCGATCGGCCCGCAGGCAAACCAATTAGCCAGTGAAAAGCTGCGAGCCATTTGGTTATGCCAAGGGTCTAGTATATTGGTTAGAATAGGTAAAATATAGTTCAATAACTTAGGCACTTCATAACTTTTTTAAATTAGCACAGACGCGCTAATAATGTATGAATAAGATCGATCTCCGAGAATCGGGAGTGGGTGAACTGAGACGAGACTGGGAGAGATCGAAGAGAGGAGGAGGGTGCAGAGAAATGAGAGAGAGCAGTGAGCACGAGAGGGACAACTCGCAAAGAGCTTTTTTCGGGTACCTGGTCGTTTTTGCGCAAAGATCTCGATTCACAATAGGCATTTTTAGAATCACTTTGATTTTAGCTGCAGCCCTGTTTCTGGTACGAACTTGATTACAAATTCAGCAGTTCCCGATGATCGGGACAGTCTAGAAAACAATAGCACCTGCGCCACCTCCGCTCCGCCCCTGGAGCTCAACATTTTCCCCTGTTAATCGCTTGCTACCCGGCCGTCGACTCACTGATGGTTATATTTGGATTTACTGTTGAACCAAAGATACCACTGCCTTATTGGCTTTGCTGAGATACCTTATTTTTTTGTTCTATCAGAGGAAAATACGGCATTAATAGCATGGTGGTAAGCAGGCCCGTAGCGGAGGCCGAATTTCGGGGGGGGCCCCAGGCCCCCCTCCTACGGGCCTGGTGGTAAGCAAGTTCACCTTCGATTTCAGGCCTACCGAAAACAAGTCCTTGGCCTCTTCGGCTGCGAAAAGAAAATTATCGCGGAGGTTAGTCAGGAGGACACCCAAAAAAACAAACCCGCAGTATTAACGCACCTGAACCCTTCCGGATGGCCGATTCATCGTTGCCATCCAACGTTTGTACGTTATCGATCGTTTATTGCAAAAAAGACAAAAATTAAGTAAATTTTCCAAAATCCAGTGAAAAGGTAATGCAAACAAGAAAATGCAAACAAAAATAAAACAAGAAAATCAAGAGCTAGAGCGATACATGAAATTGGTGGTGTTGGTTTGTATGGCGCGACCATCGCTGTGGACCATCCCCCCCCCCCCCCCCCAGCCGGCCCCCACGTTTTGTATCTTCTCGACACCCCGTTGTCGTAGGGGCCTGTAAAGTATACGAAAATACTAGCCTGAGCAAGACGAAGATTTTTTTATACTTTACACAACTGTAGATCAACAGACGGCCGAGATACAAAAGTTGGGCGCAGTCTGGGGGGGGGGGGTGAACTGAACGTTACCCTGCAATCTGCATACGTATAATTCATGCCCGATTTGCATGCGAAGCTATGCAAATCATCGGGCCCACCGCGTATGGCATTAAAATTGTACACAAGGGCCGCAGCGGTCGCTTCGCGTCGGCGATGCTTGGATTTTTCTTCCGATTCTGCTCGACGCTGGTAGGCTTTTACCCACTACCAGGTGTTTTTAAATTACATCGTCGTCAGAGCCCAATAATCCCATTTAGTGGGGCTGGCTCGGTGGCCATCCGGCTCCGGCTGGGTCAGAAGCTACGGCTGCAGATACCGAAAACGTACCCCGGGTCAGCTACCTATCCGTCGAGCAGCTGCTACGACTTCCCGTCGAAGTCCAAATGCATATCGTGGCTTATATGGGAACGACGGATATGATTGAAATGGTGTATGCTGACCCGCTTTTCAAGGTGTTTTTGGCGAACTGTATTCATCTATACCGTCTGCAGGGTGTCCCCAAAAAACCGACCCCCTTTCTAGCGACTGAGAAGTGTGTCTGGCTTGTGGTGCAGTGTACCTCCCCCCGGCGTCCCCCCCCCCCACCTACCGTATCTCGGTTCCCCGTTAGGACACCGGGTGATAAAGTATACCAAAATACTGGCCAGAGAAGGATGAACATTTTGGTATACTTTACACACCTGAGACAAACAGGGGCCGAGAGAGAAAAGCTATGCGCCGGCTGCGGGGGGGGCAAACTGCACTCTAACCATGTGTCCGATTTTGACGATTTCACTACCTATCGAGAGCTCTCGAAAAGGCGAGCAGACAAGCATTTTTCGTTTTTGAATATAGCCACTTGAATTCACTAAATCTACTATATATAAATTTCTAATGTCCGTACGCCCGCCGACCGGGAATTCAGCCAAATTTTGCATTCAAATTCCAAATTCAAATTGTGCAATGCGGGGGCGGGGGGTCAGCGCTGTTTAAGCGGTCAAGCTGTTTAATCCATGAAAACGTCAGATTTTATGCAAAATCAGCATGTTAAATTGATTGCCAACGCAAACAGGACGACGCTGATTCTACGTTTTTAAAGGGATCGTTCAATATCGAGCGCGGGCTAAAAATTGTTGCACAAACGATAGCGCTTGTATTCTCGCCTTTTCAAGGGCTTTCGAATGGTGTAAAAATCATGCCGATCCGACTTTTCTCCCGACCGCTGGAGGGGATTGGTTCCTTTTCGGGCACCCTGTAGGCGCTAACCAATTTAGGCCTTCATCACGGCCGTTCCGAAATATTGGGAGGCTGTGCTTTCGGCTGGCGAAATCTCCATCGACCGCGATTGGTACACTAGGATGGTGTTCTTGAGATGCTTAATTAAGCGACTTCGTTTTTTACAAGAGGTTTCCCAGAAGCGACGGGATGGCTGTCGATCTCCCATCTGATCTGGAGTAAGGCAGATTAATGGCTCGAAGAAATTCTTTTTTACAGTAGCCCCGTTGGCACCTTGCAACTTTATCCCAACTAGAAAATATTTTAATAGTGTTATTAGTCAAAAACATATATTTGAACGAGCAAAATATCTCCAAGGTTTTGAAAAGTGGCATTTCGATCAAAATCCGCCATTTTCGTCTAAAACTCTATGTTTTTAAAATTTTTGTACAAAAATTTTATATGTTTTTCACGTTTAGCAATCGGAAAGACTATTCAGAAAAACTTCCACGATTTATATTTGAAAAATTGGTAAGAGTGCATTTTACCCCTTCCCCCAGCCGGCACTCAACTTTTGTATCTCGGCTCTCTGTTGTTTTACAGTTGTGTAAAGTATACAAAAATCTTCGTCTTGCTCAGGCTAGTATTTTCGTATACTTTACAGGCCCCTACGACAACGGGGTGTCGAGAAACTGCACGTAAGCCGAAAAAATAGATGGTAAGAAAGGGAAAATTGATTTCGCCCTATCCCCCCCCCCGCGAAATAGCCTCAAAAATGTTGCTCTTTTGGGCCGATGTGTGCCTCTAAACAAATTTTGCTTTCAGTATAATGGACTCGGGTGTCTGGGCGTGTCAAGTGAATCTCAATACCGACCTGGGTGACCCACGGCGGGACCAAGAAGTCATCAACTACACCGAGCTCGTAGACATACTCGCCAACAACTCGCGCGTTCGCATGGTAAGCAACTTTAGCGCGAACAGTTCCCGGCTTTTCTCCGCAGCTATCCGGCGCGCCGCATTCATGGGTGAACGGCGAGCCCTGGAAGCCGAATCTCCAAGCAACTATCCTTACCATTTCCAAAGTGAACGAGATCAAGGATGGATGGCCGTATGGGACAGGTCTGCAACGCATTGATTTTTGGTTCTGGACTGTTAGCGGGGGGGGGGAACAAACTTCTGTCTTTCACTTACATGTTGATGATATATAATGTATTTTGATAGCATTCTGAGTAGTTTTTAATTGCTAGAAAATGATAAAGCATTTTTTAATTTTGAAAATTCGAAAATTTGGAGCTGTTTTTGATCATTTTTCATTCATTTTTGATCAAAAAGTCAAATTTTCGGAAATATTTGTTGGTTTTATATTGTTTTTCTAACTGAAAACTAAGTAAAATGCTATAAAAATGGTTTATATGTTATTACCAGATGGTTCCAGTCGCTTCGCGACTGTAACCATCTGGCCTTCGGGCTACCCTTCATGCAATCCACTTAAAAAACTACTTCGATACCTCCCTGATAGCTTTAGATACCCCCCATGGCTGAAATCCCCTTGAAAAACTACCTAAATACCTTCCTGACGGCTTCAGATACCCCCCATGGCTGAAATCCCCTCCAAAAACTACCTAAATACCTTCCTGACGGCTTCAGATACCCCCCATGGCTGGAATCCCCTCCAAAAACTACCTAAATACCTTCCTGATGGCTTTAGATACCCCCCATGGCTGAAATCCCCCTCAAAAACTACTTCGATACCTCCCAGATGGCTTTAGATACCCCCCATGGCTGAAATCCCCCTCAAAAACTACTTCGATACCTCCCAGATGGCTTTAGATACCCCCCATGGCTGAAATCCCCCTCAAAAACTACTTCGATACCTCCCAGATGGCTTTAGATACCCCCCATGGCTGAAATCCCCCTCAAAAACTACTTCGATACCCCCCATGGCTGAAATCCCCTTCAAAAACTACTTCGATACCTCCCAGATGGCTTCAGATACCCCCCATGGCTGAAATCCCCTTCAAAAACTACTTCGATACCTCCCAGATGGCTTCAGATACCCCCCATGGCTGAAATCCCCTCCAAAAACTACCTAAAAGCCTTCCTGATGGCTTTAGATACCCCCCATGGCTGAAATCCCCCTCAAAAACTACTTCGATACCCCCATGGCTGAAATCCCCTTCAAAAACTACTTCGATACCTCCCAGATGGCTTCAGATACCCCCATGGCTGAAATCCTCCAAAACTACCTAAAAGCCTTCCTGATGGCTTTAGATACCCCCCATGGCTGAAATCCCCCTCAAAAACTACTTCGATACCCCCATGGCTGAAATCCCCTTCAAAAACTACTTCGATACCTCCCAGATGGCTTCAGATACCCCCCATGGCTGAAATCCCCTCCAAAAACTACCTAAAAGCCTTCCTGATGGCTTTAGATACCCCCCATGGCTGAAATCCCCTCAAAACTACTTCGATACCCCCATGGCTGAAATCCCCTTCAAAAACTACTTGATACCTCCCAGATGGCTTCAGATACCCCCCCATGGCTGAAATCCTCCAAAAACTACCTAAAAGCCTTCCTGATGGCTTTAGATACCCCCCATGGCTGAAATCCCTCAAAAATACTTGATACCCCCATGGCTGAAATCCCCTCCAAAACTACTTGATACCTCCCCAGATGGCTTTAGATACCCCCCATGGCTGAAATCCCCTTCAAAAACTACCTAAATACCTTCCCGATGGCTTTAGATGATTTAAATAATTAATTAACATAATTAAAAAGTATTAAAAAGTATTAAAAAGTATTAAAGTAACTTAAAAAAACGATCTGGGCGCGGGAAGGGGCCTGGGGAAGAGGGGCGAAGGGAAAGGGGGGCGTGGCCTCCCGGGAGAGGGGCCCCCACTCGTTTTATTAAGGCGCCACTTTCAAAGTTAATTTTAATAATTTAAATTAAAACTTTTTCAGAATTTTTTTATCAGTTTGGGGGTTTCCGACCACGCTCTATCCGAATCCGAAGAGAGCTAAGCTCTAGCTCCTTTCCCCTTCGAGTTGAATTCGGCTTCAGACAGACAGACAGACGGACGGAGACCACAGCAAAATTATTATAGTTGATAGGGCCGTAGGGAAGCACAGTGAAAAATTTGGTTCCCCGGTAACCCCCCCGCTCAAAGTCCAGAACCAAGGGACCCTCAAGTTGGCACAGTGGAATTTCGAAATTTCGCTGTATGTTCAGATACGTACGGTGCCGTGGCTGTGGATGTTCTTTGGGGCTACCGGTGGGAATATGCTTTCTGGGAGAAGTTTGCTAACATGGTGAATGGATTGCCGGTGGGTCCTTGATGGATTTGTGTCTACGGGGATTTTCCCTCATTTAGCAGGTCAAACTACTGCGCGCCTCGTTACCAGTTACGGTGACGCGACTTCCCCAGTTGTCCTTGTTGAAAGTTCCGAGCTTCAAGGTCTACTACGAGCAGCCCATTGGCAAGTTTCAATCCTACAAGGAGTGCTTTTTTTTGAGTCATCGGCAAAACCTTACGAGACCTAGTTCAGACGATAGAGAATTCGATTCTGAACAAAACCCCGTTGTTGTTTTTTGCAGAATGGCTATCTCTGATTTTATAAAATTAAAATACTAGTGACCGTCTCTTACCATGAGTGCCTTTCGAGCCAAAAGAGAGGCTTTTGAGTGCAGTTTTGAAATTTTATAAAATCAGGGATAGCCATTCTGCAAAAAAGAACAACGGGGTTTTGTTCAGAATCGAATTCTCTATCGAATGAGCTAGGTTTCGTAAGGTTTTGCCGACGACTCAAAAAAGCACTCCTTGTTAGGATGCAGTTCCGCGGGGCATTGTACAGGGTGGCCCAAAAAATCACCCCCCTCCCCCCCTTCTCTCGCCGGCTGCCGACGTGTCCGATTTTTACAATTTAGGTATCTACCGAATGTTCTCGAAAAGGGGTGTCCGGCTTGTCTAACTGAATTTGAAATTTCGGAATTTTTTGCCCGATTTTTGGGATTCTTCATGCAAAAAAGATGCTTTTTTTGTCAAAACACTCAATTTAATCGGCTTAGCGGTATCCACGCTGTTTTTCGCAAAAAATGGGGTTGGGCTACCAGTAAAGATTCTGAAAATTGGAGAGACGTTCTGGACTCGCCTTTCCGAAAGCTTTCGACGGATAGCTAAATCGTGAGGCCGGCTGGGAGGTGGGGTGATTTTCGGGCACCCTGTCCATCCAACTTTCCACAGCTTTCCTGGTCAACCTTACGCCTCACAAGGATCAATGCCCTTTGCTGGCCGTCAACTCCTTTCGACAGATGATTTCGGTAGTTTTATTAGGTCCCAATACTTCCAGGGAGACGTTTTTAGCGTCTTTAGACTTTCACTTTGGAACCAACCACATCTTGTGCGGAATTTTGCGCTGTTTACAGTTTACGCCGAATATGTTAGCCAAATCTTCGGAATCGCAATTTTCGAGTTATTTAAGTTAGGAAACCCATAAAAAATGGGGGGGTGGTTTTTGGTTTTTATCGTTGATTACCTTGGGAAAATCGCGAATGAGGCAGTTTTAGGAAACACCAGGGTTGAAAAGCCGCTTCGCGACTTTTCAACCCTGGCCCCCGTCTTACCCCCATACTCCGTCACATTGCATAAACACCTGAATTCCTGTGCAGAAAAATGAAACTCGCGTCCTCTCGCCCATTATATAGGCTTCCCCCACTTCCGGTGCATGCTAATTGATTCCTAACAAAGAGGCTGAGCGAGATTTTCACAAAAACTTAATTTTAATATCGAAAACAGCTGATTTTGAAAAATCTCATATGCGTGCAGTCGTGTCATGACCATTACGCACCTAATGACGTATCATACGTACCCTTAGCTTCCTCTCCTATTGAGATACGACTGGAACATACGGACGGAAGTTGCATGCAAATGCACACACACACACACACACACACACACAAACACTATTTTTTTTATATATAGTAGGGTTTTGACCAAATAGGGTTTGCCTACACATTTCCGTAAATCACTTTTTCGAAAATTCGTTTTTCGAAATTCGAATTTTTCGAAAAATGATGTTATGGAAAGTCATATTTTCGAAGCTCAGTTTTCCAAAAATCAAATTTTGAAAAATTTGCGTCCGGCTATCGATAGGAAATGGCCGGAAAGGGTATAAAATAAAAAAGCAAATTTTTCGAAATATGATGTTCAAAAAAATAGTTTTCGAAAAGTGATTTCGGAAATAGGACTCTCGAAAAACGATCGCCCGCCGGTAAACATATCTGGATTGGCGCAAATTTCACAAAAACGGGCCTTGTTGCAAGTTGAAACCCCGATGACTCAATGCAGGAATGGCTGCGTGGCGAGCGCGAGATCGACCGCATTCTGGTTCTGTGCACCAGAGCCATAAGGACGGATCGCTCGCCTTTTAATATGAAGGGTAAGCATTGGCTTGCATCGTCTATTTACCACGAACATTGTTGCAGAGTTGCTCGTTCTTGTGGCGGGATTGGCTGAAGGGCTGCCGGGCTGCTTCAAGATTTGCGCCAGGTACTTAGCAGTGGTCCTGATGGTCGAAGTCATGAATTTTTTGCAGCGCCTGGCTGATTCGGCGCACCGAGACGGTGGATTGAACCCTGAGTTCATCGAATCCAAAATTTTAGAGCCGTGATGGGCTCGTGATCAGCCTCCAACCTCAGATTTTCATGCTGTGCCGTTGTGACTATTGGGACCGACGGTATGCTGTCTCGGAAAAATTTTGTTGCTAAAATGTAAATCAAAAGCCACACGGAGCCGGAAAGAATAAAGCAGTAATTTTTGTCGCGCGGCTCCGGATGGATAAAACTGAGCTCGCTAGAACCGAACTAGTTTTTGTAGGGAGCGTGCTTTTGAGGACAGTCTGCAACACTGCCAAGCCTTCGCTACGCTCCTAGAAGCACACCAGCGCATGAAATCAAAAGGACTTAGTGCTCAGGTCGGCGGTTTTATGGTCCCGCTCTCTCCCCTCGCTCTCTCTCGCTCTCTATCTCCCTCTCTCTCTCTCTCTCTCGCTGTCTCTCTCTATCTCTGTCTATCTCTCAATTTTAGCTTTTGATATAAGTAACTTTCAGGATACTCGAATCAAAAAGACGATTTTCGAAAAGGACGCCCGCGCGTACCTCAAAGCATACGGTGCTTTGCTGCGCCGCGTCGTCCTCTGCGATTTTGTAAGAACTCTTCTCATCAAGCAAAACCGACGGTTTTTAGGCCATCTGCGCTTCGCTGTGCTTCGACTATAATTGGGCAAGCTCTTCGGAAAAATTGACAGCGTGAAAAAACATTCTGAGACAGCACATCCGGCCAAACGGCTCATTCTTATTTCCATTTTTTAAGAGCTGTTCAACGAAGAGCAGGACGTCTGGAGATTGCTCGATTCGTACAAGACCGGCGACGCCCATCGCTTCTTCGCCTTGGGCGAATAGGGACGAGGCCGCGAGAAGTGAAAAACGACGATCGAAAGCTGACTTCCCCCGCCCACATGTGCCGTGTTCGTGCAAATTTCCGTTCGCCCTGGCCATTTTTGATAAAGAATAAAGCCTTACATGTGGTTTCTGCTGCTTCAGCCGCCCAAAAAACATTTGTCCATTTTTGCAGGGTTTTCGGTTTCCCTTTAGACCTGCTTGCTGGGCCAAAATTTTCCATAGAAAATCTGGAATTTCGACAATTTTTGTTTTGTTTTTAGGCGTTTTGTGCATGAAAGCCAGAACATCAATAAAAACAGATATTCGGAAAAATGGAAAATCAATAGAAACTCTTAATGATGCGCTTTTGGATGTTTCTGATGCTTCTGACTCTGATTTTTTGTTGCGCGTTTTAATTGGTGAGGTTCTCGCTTTGCGGATTGGGTGGCTTTGGAGGAATTGTGATTTTCTTTCTACATTTATGGAATTTGCATGAATTTGCATGAATCAAAAAGAAAATGAATTGGAAGCAGTTGTTTGGGGTGTTAGCCAAACGGATTAATAAAAGAAGCGTTTCAGAAAATTGAGATAGCGTGCGTGTTCTTTTAGCATCTGGCATTCGCACCGCATCTGGCATTTTCTGTATTTTTGCCGCATACGATGAAATTGCCCATTGATACTTTCTTAGTCATTTTAGGCGATTTTTGCCCGTGAGTGGCAACATTTTTCGTGGCCTGTCAGCCCAATTAGCTCGAAAGTTGCTTTGAGCTGTTATTTGGTTTTTTTTGTTTTCTTTGTTGGGCCGCTTGAAAACGTTGCCTTGCCTAGAAACCTTGGTATTGTAGGGCGACAGTAAAGCAATCACACTCACTAAAGATCCTAATTTTTCGGAGCAGTTGTTTTTTAAAGAAAGGAAAAGGAGAGTGCGGTAAAATCGAGCTATCTCTTGGGACTGAAATTTCCTGGCGGCTGTAGTCCTGTGATGTCAATCGCGATCGCCCATGTAGGTGAATTTGTCCTAAAAGTGCGTATTAGTAATTATTGATTTGGATATAAACTGACTATTGTGAGAGAACCACCCCATGGCTTGGGTGCGTATCTACAGTGACGCGCCAGACCTTTTGACTGTCACATAATAATTGTAAAAATACATAATGACTGTCATTAGGGATGGGGAGTAGCTGTCGATACCCAGTCGGGGAGTGGGGTCGTTTTTCCCGCTTCCTAGTCCCTTTAAGATGCACCAACGCCTCTTGAGGTTTCCGCGGCAAAAAGAATATGCAATCAGACATTAGGGTATCCTAATAAAAGTACCATCGTAAAACTCACACCGATTTTTGTTCTGTCGTAACACCGTTCCATTTTGGCCACCAAGCATATTAATTTGGTACAGAAATGTAAAGAATGTTTTCCACTTGTTATGGACTTGGTTTGCTTCAAGAATCAAGAAGTTCTATATTCACGGTGCTGTGGTCTAAAAAATTTCTTTATAAAGATCTATTGAATCCCATCACTTTTCTTGGCCTACATTTTTGCGCTATGCTATTTCGTGGATGATTAGCAATCTCCTCTGAGGCTGACGATGAAATTTGCCGCTCGTATAGGCTTTCCTTATCTAAATTTGATTGTCATTTATGAAAGTGCTACTAACCATTTAAGTATCCTTTCAAATCACGAATTTGTGAGGCCCGCTTTTGATGAAGCCGGCTGGTCCAAAGCCAAGCATGACGAGTCGTTACTCCTGAAAAAGAAAAATGCCGTGAAAATCCATAACATGAAAAATTTAAATGGAAATCATTGCGAGATTGTTACATCATACAAAATTAAGATAGAGGCTATGTTGAGTATCTTTGCGGAACTGTACAGCCCCGAACAGCCAGCAGGCGAACCGATTAGTCCATAAAAAAGCTGCGAGCCATTTGGTTATGCCAAGGGTCTAGTATACTGGTTAGATGGGTAAAATAAACTTCAATAAATTGAGGACGCGTGTAACTCCTGGAAATTCATATATTACCAGGGTTGAAAAGCCGCTTCGCGACTTTTCAACCCTGGCCTCTCGGCCAGGCCCTTTGATACACGGGCACTGCACATTATAATTTGCATTAATATTACGAATTACGTTAGGGAAAGGCACCACAGGAATTACGTGAGCAACCGACTCGGAACCCCGCAAAGCCCAGAATGAGCCGAATTAATAGCCGTATGCAAATTAGTCTATTTCCATATGTTTTTAAATCGCTAAAATAAGGTATAAAACGTCATTTTAGTAAAAACCTGATATGCGGGCAGTAATCTACGCCTTCGATTACCCCTAAACACTTTACTTCTGAGCCATAAAATCCTCTTCCCTTCGAGTTATGGCTGGAACCCGGGATTTTATGCAAAGTGTCCACACACACACAGAAACTATTTTTTTATACATAGTAGGATAAACGTTAGAAAAAGTATGAATAACATCGATCTCCGAGACTCGGGAGCTGTTCTTTGGGTGAATTGGGACGAGACTGGGAGATATCCCGGAAAGGTGGAGGATGCTGAGAAAGGAGAGAGCAGTGAGCACGAGAAACGCAGCTAGGACGAAGTTCTTTTTCGACTAGGAATGAGGCAGTAAAAGTTGTTGTTTTAACTAGTTAGAAGCTGGACGGCCATACATACTTACATAACATAGAATTAATTAAGTTTGCTAAGCGAAGCCACCTAAATCAACGACGAATCGATATGTAATATCTGTATCCGATACGATATCGGTATGTAATACCGATTACTCCCGGCTAACTGTCTCGAAAATTTCAGTATTTGCTTTCCTTGGTCCCGCCCAAGCTTATACACAAATTCTGCCATACATCTTGCGGGCTAACAGAGGAAGTGTGGATCTTCTCAGTCCCAACGGAAGCAATAACGGGATTTTAATACCGATATGACGGCGATAGGCTACGCTTTTCGTGCATAGGTAACCGTAGCTGTCATCATACAAAACTAAAAACTTTTAGTTGAAAAACCGATTTTTCATACAAAAATCGAATTTTCTAAAATTTACAGGCTGCATCCAACCGTCCCGGAATGTTGATTACCGTAGTCCTCGAGGTCAAAAACCTAGGAATTCATTTGAGTTTAGGTCTCGCTTCTTCGTTTTACTTGGTTTTTTGGGGGTGGACACATAATTATGTGGATCGGAAAAAAACATGTTTTCTGAAAAAACATCGATATTTCCTCTACTTTTGTATCTAAGCAAAAATATGTAGTGGCGTTGGTTACAGAGCCGGATTCTGCCGATTTTGTTAATACAATCCATCCGTCGAAACACGTCATAAAAAAAGATATTCGAAGTTTTCGGGGTGGACACATAATTACGAGGGGCGGTGTAGAACAATAGAAAGCGTTGTAAATAGCAAGTTTGTAATGTGAACACTCGTACTTCCCACGAACCGATTTGGTTCATTTTTGTACCGGATATCAATTTGCTCGCCAGAAGCCTATTATGAGAGTTGAGTCCCAATCTCTATCATCCCGATACGTGCACAAACGGCCCACATATGCGACAGAAAACAAGGCCTATATAGTATTCTACTGAGCGTATTTTAGTTCAGGATCATGTAGGTAGTTGAAAGCGATTAGATGGAACGATTTATTTTGGTGACCCACCAGTGCATGACCGCCCCGTTCGCATGCGTTCGGACGCGTTAAAATTAGATTAGTTGCTCAAAAATCGCAAATCACAAACAACTTTAAAAAATTGACGATTAAACGATTAAAAGAGGTAGTCAAATTTGGATAATGCTGGTGGTGCGTAGCATCAGATCGATAATTTCTTTCAACGTTTCGCTGAGCGGTAAGCTAACTAATTTGTGATAGAGAGTGTGTTTATCTATATAAATAGTACTTGTGGTCGGTGAGGTATTTAGTTATTTTATACCTTCATTTAATTTTTTCGGGTATGGGGTAGCACAGGTAATAGGAAGTACTTTCTGATGGCCGTACGATCACAGTTCGCAGCAGTTAACGTTATTGACATTATCGTCGTATGTCATGTCGTTGAGTGCATTAATGAGCCAAGGTGCTGTTTTTTGATAATATTTATCGGCTACCCGATTCTAGTGTCGCCTTCATGAGGTAAGGCGCGCAATTTAGCCCGAACGGAACGCGTTGAAAACGAATTCTTCTTGGAATTCTTTCCGAATCCAAATCCAATCCAAATTTCTGGATGGCAGGGCTGAGATTGCACCTGCGCTTTGGCAGTTATTGTAGCTTCTTTTGCCTCTTGCTGCTGTTTGCCTCCTCCACGTTCTTTTGGCTAAATTCATATTCGAGCACTGTGTGTTCAGGGCACTAGCCGCTTTCTTCAGTGTTACATAAATTTTTTCTAAAAAATTAATTCCTCAGGCTTGCTATTGCCTCGATCTGCTTTGCTGTTTGGCTTTTGGACAAATGTGGCGGCTTCGTCTAACATCCTCCATGTTGGCACTTCGGGTCTGCCGTTTTCTTTTTTGCGTCGTTTCTTGCCATGTCCACAATGCGCGTAGTTGCCTCTGTCATTTCGACCCGCATCACCGCTACCATTTGGTGGTAGGGTTCCATGGCTGATTAGCTTAGTTTTATACGATTCATTTTTGCGCGCGTCAAGATAGTACATCACTTTTAAAACAAGTTCAGTAGGAATGGTGCGCTTGTGAATCCAATTTAAATCACTGAAAGTAAAAGCTGTACATTCTGTAAAAACTGCTATAATCTTTTACATATGAGTTTAATTTTACTATTAGGTTTCTCAACATTTTTGAGCTCCCTAAATGTTTTGTATACCCTTTATTTAACTTCTAAGAGGATGGAGTAGCAGAAATAATGTACGGATCTGCTTCGGACATTTCGCTCTAA